TAATTTTGATTATAGAATTATTTCAAATATTTTACCTGAAATTCTAAAACATCATTACCAAAAATTATTCATACAGATAAAAGGTAGACATATAAGTGGAGCTAACTGAATGATTCAGGATATTTTAATAATATATTGACGATGAAGATAAAAAAAGAATTATTTTATTTTTTGACCAACAAAAAACGTTTGATAGGGTTGAATGAGAATGGATTGAGTTTATCCTGGAGAATTTTGAATTTTGGGGGAAATTTAGAGCGTGGATCAAAAGGATGTTATTAAATGATACTTCGTGTATTAACACCAATAATTTGTATCTAGATACTTTTCGATTACTTGCACAACTAGACAATGATGTCATATAGTGCCTCTTTTCTATATCATACAGAATGAATCCATGGAATATTCAATAAGGAGTAACATTGATGTAGAAGGTTAACAATTAAGAGAGTGAATGACTTTATAGAAACTAAACTATGTATGTTTGTAGATGACATTAAGGTATTAAATAAGAAGGAACAATCTATAAACAAGTACTTCAAGATTTTGTCTTTGTAATAAAAAAGCTTCTGGTTCTATAATAAATATTGACAAAACAAAAGGCTTAGTTTTAGAGGCTTCTTAAAAAATAAGTATTGAATTTGAGAAAATCAAATGGATCACACGTAATGTTAAAATATTAGGTGTGTGCCATGGTTATGAAATATATAAAGATAATATATGGAGATAAACAATTGACAAAGTTAAAAATTGTATACATGCATGAAAAAGTAGGAATCATACATTTACAGGTAAAACACTTACAGGTTTTTTTAAAAATTTTATACATGCTCTCTATTCTTGCGAGATTGAAATACGAGGAGTTAAAGATAAATATACTAAACATGCTTAAGTGATAAATATTATAATTTGGAAACGTATATGGGACGGGAAAATTAAACAGGTATTCAGAAATGTCTACAGTTTGCATGAAATAAAAGGGGAATGGGTATGGATCTGTTTTAGTTGATTTTAGTCTCTGATGTATGATTTTTTATTATTAATTGTTTTTGGCTTTTAACGAGCTGTCAGTAACTGCGAGTACTCTCAAAGCTTACTTTCTTTAATTTGATCTGTTGATACTATTTGTAATGCTTTTTTGTTATTTAATGTTTACTTATTCGGGGTTATATCTGGTCTATATACCAGCTTTGATAAGTGTTTGGTATTACTATAAATTTTCACTTCTTCGAACCATGAACATCAAAATTATTTATTTTGTAAATATATTTCCTTTCTTCTTTTAAACTGTATACTTAACAACAAAATTATTTTCATTTACCTGTGTATGATATTATTGTGAATGGCGGATTTTTGTTAAAGGTTATTGTTGTTTTCTGAAATTGTATAACATTTCACAGCGGTATAATACTGTTACTTTAATTATTCATCCCTTATTTTATTTTATTGATTTTGTATTTACATTGTATCATGGATCAAATTTATTCGTTCAGTGTCTGTTCACTTGTGCTAATATGTCTTTTGATTGAGTTAAGCCATTTCAATTTATATTTTATAGTGTGTCTTTCTATGTTGTGATGTTACACCATTGTTTCAGATAAGGGTGAAGGTTTGGTACCATTAAAACGTTTAAACCCGCTGCAATTGTTTTCACCAGTCCTAAGTCAGGAATCTGATGTTCAGTAGTTGTCGTTTGTTGATGTGGTTCATACGTGTTTCTCATTTCTCGTTTTTTATATGGATAAGACCGTTGGTTTTCCCGTTTGAATGGTTTTACACTATAAAATTGAGAATGGAAATGGGGAATGTGTCAAAGAGACAACAACCCGACCATAGAACAGACAACAGCAGAAGGTCACCAACAGGTCTTCAATGCAGCGAGAAATTCCCGCACCCGGAGGCGTCCTTCAGCTGGCCCCTAAACAAATATATATACTAGTTCAGTGATAATGAACGCCAAACTAAACTCCAAATTGTACACAAGTAACTAAAATTAAAAATCATACAAGACTAACAAAGGCTAGAGGCTCCTGACTTGGGACAGGCGCAAAAATGCGGCGGGGTTAAACATGTTTATGAGATCTCAACCCTCCCCCTATACCTCTAGCCAATGTAGAAAAGTAAACGCATAACAATACGCACATTAAAATTCAGTTCAAGAGAAGTCCGAGTCTGATGTCAGAAGATGTAACCAAAGAAAATAAACAAAATGACAATAATACATAAATAACAACAGACTACTAGCAGTTAACTGACATGCCAGCTCCAGACTTCAATTAAACTGATTGAAAGATTATGTCTTCATCATATGAATATCAGGCACAATCCTTCCCGTTAGGGGTTTAGTATCATACCATCATAACATATATGAGAAGAACATAACCCGTGTCATGCCAACAACTGGTTTTTAAATAAATGTGTTTAGTGCCGATGCAAAGACCCTATAAGTAATTTTTGGGGCCCTTTATAGCTTGCTGTGCGGTGTGAGCCAAGGCTCCGTGTTGAAGACCATACTTATAATGGTCTTCTTTTATAAATTGTGACTTGGATGGAGAGTTGTCTAATTGGCACTCATACCACATCTTCTTATATCTATATATGGTAAAGATAGATATGTTCATAAAAAGATTAACAAATAACACTTTTATATTGCTTACTAAAAAATAAAACTATCAAATGGAAACTGCCATATTTATCAAAATGACAAAAACATAGAAACCTTGCAACACATATTTTATTACTTATAGTAAATTAAAGGTTATTTTAAACAAGCTTCAAGAAATACTAATTAATAAAACATATGAATATATAATCCTAAATATCAGCACAGCTATGTTAAATCTGCAAATTTGCGGAAACAAATTTTGTTCTTCCCTCGCTGGAATTCGAACCCATGCTATTCAGATATCAAAACAACACCGACTGCACTGTGTCAAGCGCTCTAGACCACTCGGCAACCTACACTGAACAAAAACTCAGCTTTCGGCGGCCTAGTGTTACCTTCTTGTCAGTAGAATCTAGAGTTGTAACACAGTACATGATATATTAGGCATGAAGATATAACAGTTTTTATCATCGTGGAGCTAACACAAAAAAAAAAAAAATGGTAAAAATTAAACGTATTGACAACATCTGTTTTATAGTCAATTTGTGACACAGATCCAGAATTGAAGGTTACACACTACATTTATACCAAAACATAAACATGATTAGACAATGTCGGATTTTAAAAGGCATATTAAGATTATAAACTATACTATATATCAAACGCTAAGCCATCAAATACATGAATGATTTTAACTAACATGATTAAGAAAAAGCCATATAACATGGTCCGTTTATAAATTTGAAATTATAAAGAAACTTAGGTTTCAACTCCCGCATGCAAAGCTGGCCTAAGATTGATTTGACTATCTTGATACATTTCACCTTACTCACATATATCTGTATCTCAACTATGACTATCAGTCCTTTAGGATATCATCAGCTCAGTATTCAGTAATAAAATGATTTATAATATACCTTTATTAATTGTCAAGTATTTATTTAAGAATGTTACAACTCCTTTAGGTGTCAGACCACCAATTCACTTGCTTCAATTTAGGACGTATGTAAAAGTAGCCCTTCTATGACCAAACAAGTTCTTTTGATGTCATTGTTTACTTTAAATTACAAACAAGTTTTCAGAAATGAAACTTTTGGTGATGAAAGAGAAATATATGTAGACCATTTGAGCCAAAAATTAATTTTCCATTAGTTTGTATCAAAAATGGAAAATTAATGTGATCCATAGTATACTTTTTTAAGATTTCCAGAAACCCAGGGGTTATTTTTAGAATTACGGTAGTATCTCATTACAAGCCTTTACAATTGGTATGTAGAAAGGTGATACATGTTCAATTTGTGATATAACAGGTTTCTATGCAGTTCAACTTAAAGTAAAACATTTTGTAAATGTGAAAATTGCTCAATTTTTATTGAATAGATAGAGATTGAAAATTAGAACGTAGAAAGGGGATACATGAACAATTCCGAATATTTCTTGTTTCTACACATGTCCTATGCAGTTAAAATTAAGGTAAATTATTTAGAAAGCTGTAAAAATTTATAAATTGGGTTGAATAGATAGATATTTGAAATTGGTAGTCTGAGACCTTTAGGCAAAGTTGACCTATGATTCGAATATGAAATTAAGATCCTTTTTGGACATATATACCTGGGTAAGGTTATTATCTTTTTCTTGATTTCTTTTCCAACTACAGTTTGGAAAAAAAAATCATTTTATGGTAATCTTGTGTTGTTGTCTGATGGCTTTTACTGTACAACTTTCCATCTTTATTAATCTTTAAAGTTTTTAAGCAGAAACAATCCCGTCCTCCGATTATTAGACTAAAATCCAATAAAAATAAGGACAAACCAATTTGTGTCACATTTATTTTTCGGAGTGGGGTATACTGTTTTTTCATGATCTTAATGATTTTAGTAAAATAATGCTATAGCCAGAGAAAACAATAATTCTGCATACTTCATTTAAATTTGTTAAAATATAATCCTTTTTCTGTGAAAAATTGTCACAAAACAAAAGAAAATACTAAGCACCCTATTTGGTGAAGTGAATTAATCCTAGTCTCTATGATGAGTTCAACTATTTACAGAGTGTTTTTTTTTTAAGTAATCATTCTTTTATTTCATGCTTCGTGCATGTACGGTAGTATTTATATAATGTAACGTTTATATCTAGATTAATGAGTATGAATTCACTTTACAATTGAACCGTTAGGAGTGGATATAACTAATCACGACCGAAAAGAATATCCTACTTCAAATTGCTCGGTAAAATGGGATAAAATTTCCAGCATTTTTTTCCACAAAATAATATTTTTCACGGTATATAAGTCAGATAATGCATATTTTGGGCTGTCATGATTGCCCAAAAGAAAGACCTCCATATGGGTGGTCCTTCATTTGATAAATCCTCAAACCACATTTAATTATTTTACCTTTAAAATCTGTGTCGCACATTTCCAGAACAATGTCCCATCGGTATCGATTTTCAATACCTGGTTGTTCAAGTGCAGGTCCAATATATAAAGATGCGTTTGTTTGCTGAAGACGAGAAAGCCATTGCATCAAGAAGTAGTTTCCTGTTTCCCGTGAATACTTTTTTCCTGTAAACAAATCAAAAGTAAAATAACAAAAATACCGAACTCCGGGGAAAATTCAAAACGGAAAGTCCGTAATCGAAACGTCTTTTTACCATATTTTGAATTCACTACGAGTCTATAATTTAAAACATATTATATCACAACCTGTAACTAGATAGGGGCTTCGTTGCCCGATTGATCTAAGTGGTAAAATTACTTCATCTCTGACCTGTTAACACTTCAAGCTCCCACCTTGATTGACCAGGACTGTCATTTTTCCGACAAAAGCTCGATGTTTCTCTCCCTGCACTAATAAAAACCGATTACAATGAAATAACCAAATAATGCTAAAAGATGCGTTTAACACCAATACATCAATCAATCAATTAATCAATCAACCAATGTTGAAGTATATATTTAATTTGAAAACTTACATCACACATTACACATTTCATAATCAACATTTATATGGTCATGAATGCCTATATATATATCAATATATTTATACTGTCTCTACATCCAGATTGTAAAACAAAAAATGCACGTGGCTATCAATAAAATTCCCAGTGCAATGCCATAAAAATGACATACCTGTTTTAGATTAACTAAAATACTGTGAGGTCAACAGCGAACGGGGAGAGCCTTTTCACTCTCTTTTTCCCGTGACATTACCTGAAAAACTTAAAACCTTATCTATGCGGTAAATAAAAAAGTCAAAAATTTGATTTAGTACATTTCGATAAGCATAATCACAATCTAAAAAATTCTAACCACTTGAACCCGTTCAGAAACAACCAGGACAATCACACAAGCAATTTGAAAAAATCCCGTGAAGTTCGCGAACTATTTTGGATAAAAAGACATCTTCTTTTTTATATTCAAACAGATCATCCTCTAGGTCTCAAGGACAAAATATTGGAACAGGGAAACATATCTAAAACGTCTATCGATGTCATTCATTTTGTCGATAAACGACTAAGAAATAACAGGTCTCATGGTAAACGCAAAAACCGTAATCTACGTATTAAACGTCGTATAAATTATAAACTTATAAAAAATAATGGTAGACTTCAATCATTATGCAAACTGGGTCATATACCAAAAGGTAAATTATATGATATTTATCTGGAGTGTGATGAAATTTCATCTTCAGTCCGTTGTATGAATACATCCGTATTATTACAGCTTAAAGACGCTCTGTCTGCCTACTGTAAAAACTGGTGTAAACGTCAAAATCTGATTAAAAATTTCTAGACAGTTATTGGATAAAATTGTGAATACTGTTGATATTCGCATATCTCATTTTGAAAACAATTCTGAAATTAATAATAGGGCCCATGATATTCCCATTTCTAGAATCAAAAATAAACTCCAAGTACTCGCAAAGCGGTATGTGTTTGTACCGGCAGACGAAGCAGCCAATTGTGTAGTGGTGGAGTAACGCATATACTACACAGAAGTTCTCCAAAACGAAATTATCAATTCTTCTACATTTAGATCCGTACGCTCTACAGAGAGTCAAAATGTAAACATGCATATCACTGCCACAACCCAGCTTAAAGCCTCTTCCGAACATTTGAAAGTCCCGACTATGTACATGGTTACCTACCTAAACTACACAAACAACCATTTAAATGTTCTCGTCATCTCCGCATCTAGTAAGTGTTCTACTACTTATCTGTCAGTGCTTCTAACTATCTCCCTTACTACTATCAAAGAACTTGTTATTAACGTTTGTAATAAAGCTTATGAAAATAATGCTATTAATTGTTTTTGGAATATTAAAAATACCTTAGAGGTTTTAGATAATATACGTGCTTTTGATGGTCTTTTTAGTTCTGTTGACAGTTATGATTTTTCTACTCTCTACACTACACTTCAACACAATCTGATCAAGAAAAAGTCATTGTAACATTTGGTTGATACACTCAACAATACCTACCGTTATCTTGATGATATTTTTTCGTTAAATAATCCAGAGTTCTATTAATGTACAATCGCATATTTACACAAAGGAACTTACTTTAAACAAATCTAAAATAAACAGCAGAAGCTGTCCTTTTCTGGATTTAGACATTAAAATTTCTAAAGGGATACTCCATATTAAAATTAACGACAAAAGAGACGATTTTTCATTCCTTATTGTTAATTTTCCTTTTTTAGACAGGGATGTATCTTTGGCTTTATCATACGGTGTCTTTGGTTGCACTTTGTAAATACAGCTGTTTCTGAAACCACGCCTCTTTTGGGGAGATATATAATATTCATAGATAATTAATTCTGTTTACGTACTGGTTCCCAGTTATGATCTCTATGTTTCATCTCGTAGAGACATAACTTGGGAATGTTACCAGTAGATATACATATGCATATCGGTCAAATTGAAATCTGTGGAAACCATAAAGTCAAGGTTGGGGTAGTAAAGAATTTTAGTGTAATTTTAAACTCTTAGAAGTTCGGGCATATAAACGTTGAAAATATGCCGCACAGCCCTATATTTTGACCTTTGAAAAAAATAGTAGTGCATCTGAACTTTCCATTCTAGGATATAATTTTTTTCAAAACTTCATAGTAAAAGTGGTACAGTTTTAGCCGTAAAACGAGTTCCTATGGGAAATTGCATTGTCGATTTTACAGAAATGCAACCTATATTGGGTGAAAAAAGAGAACATACAGAATTTCACCAAATCTGGTTTATCTCAGAGATTTTAATGAAATTTACTCAAATATGAAGTTTTATAAATATTTCATGAAGATTGAGAAAATACTGGGCCTTAACTATGATGACTCAGCATAAATTCACAGTTTACAGTATGCATAGTTTACTTAAAGCCCTGAATACAAAATAAATTCATAATATATGCATATTTGTAATTTGCATTGTTTAGAAGTGCTTATATTTACTCTTCGTTATCAATCACTGATAATTATTAAGTCATATTATATTGTACTAAAAGCGCGGAAATCATTATATGATCCGTGTAAACTGGTCGAATCTTTTAACAAACTTATTAGTAAAGGTTATCTTTTCATTGTTATAACTAGATCTTTGAATATTGTTTACATTGGCACAAATATCGATTTTCCCATCAAAAAATTAACACATAACTAAATTTGTATTCTTTTCAAATGTTTTTTTGGGATGTATAAATACACATTCACGTTCATGTTTATGTAGAGATTACTTTATCAATATATAACATTACACATATTTATTAAAAGTTTAAATCCTAACCATCCTACTGCCTGTCGATACTTTTATTTTGGCATAGCACAATTCATGTCTTCTTTGACTGTCCATGATGTTGAAACACTAATTCCCTTGGATGTGTTTCAGTTGATTTTAGTCTCTGATGCATGAATTATTATTATTATTAATTGTTTTTGGCTTTTATCTAGCTTTCAGTAACTGCGAGTACTCTCAAATCATACTTTCGTGTTAATCTGACCTGTTGATACAATTTGTTATGCATTTTTGTTATTAATTGTTTACTTTATTTGTGTTATATTTCGTGTCAATATTTTTGATTTTTACAACATTTGAAAAGTATTTAGTATGACAATACATTTTCACTTCTGTTCTCGTACTATGTACAACAAATTCATTTATTTTGACAAAAAAATATTTCCGTACTGCATGTACTCCTTACAACAAAAATTATTGGTATTTACCTTTGTACGTTGGATACAAAACACAATTGATTTCTCCTATTCGTTCTTTATAACGTTTTGTCTCGTAAAAAAAATTGCAACATGTTTTTTTGTAAAATCTTTTGTGTGTGTAATGTACAGTACTAGCCCATCTTACAAATTTAGCTAACACACATCCACACCCCTATGGTCAAGTCAAATGATGTTCCAAAAGCTGAAAATATTACCTTTTTGCGCCTGGCTTAATCACTCTGTCCATATCTTAATAAGTAAAAATACAATAACCATTTTATTTTAGCTCTCTTCTTTCATTTTCACCCCATAAAAACTAAAAAATAAATGCGAAAGGGAAAGAAAAAAACAAAGAAAAAATACACTTTAATTAAAGGGAACTCATTAATTGTGGTCTAGGGCCCGTTATTTTATTTAACGGCATTTTGTCTTATGTTATAGTTGTCTTTCTGATATTGTTTTACATCTCATCCCCCTTTTTATTAATTTTGTATTTTCATATATCTATAAGAAGATGTGGTATGAGTGCCAATGAGACGGTAAACGGACAGAAAGTCACAGGACATCAAGTCACAAATTTGATAGAACAAAAGGTCACAAATAATTTGTTTTGAATTGTTTGAATATATAAGAGAAGGTTCATAAAATAATTTCTTTTTATTTCATATATTCATTTTTTTACAGTTTAGGAAATTGTTCATAAGCTTTCACAAAAGAAGATTTATCAAACTTTTATCACGCAAAGGATATATTTCGTGGCACCATGAAGCCATTTAGGTACCAAACCACCTTGACACATTGTTTACTTATCATTTATTTGGTCATTATTGATTTTAAATGAAATACATTTGGTTAAAGTTGATTTATATATAATAATTCAAGAAAAATGCAAAAATATTTTTGAAAAATAGAGTTTTCTTATTCACAGAAAAATAATCTCAAAACGGAATTCTGACTGTTTGTCCTGCGACTTTGTGTCCGTGACGTTTAGTCCGTAACGTTTTGTCCTATAACTTTCTGTCCTACATTCCTATGAGACAACTCTCCATCCAAGTCACAATTTATAAAAGTAAACCGTTAAAGGTCAAAGTTCGGCCTTCAACACGGAGCCTTGGCTCACATCGAACAGCAAGCTATAAAGGGTCCCAAAAATACAAGTGTAAAACAATCCAAACAGCAAAACCAACGGTCTAGTATATATTAATAACGAGAAACTAGAAACACTTATGAATTACACCAACAAACGACAACCACTGAACAACAGGTTCCTGGCTAATGACAAGTGCGAAAAAATACAGCGGGTTTAAACGTTTTTACCTGTTAATAGGCGCTAACCTGCACCCTAACCTGAAACAGTAGTATAAAATAAAAAAATAGAATGACAGTCTAAAAGATATGAATGGAACTGGATTAACTCGATCAAAAAGAAATATTAAGAAAAACAAGTAAACATTCACTGAACAAATAAATTTGATATATGACAAAATAAAAATACAGTATGTAAAACTTTGTCAAAAAGACAACTATAACCTGGGACAAAATGGATTGAATAAAATAATGTCCACAGGTAACTTGAGAATGTTATGATTTTGTTGTTAGGAGTACAGAAATACTTTTTACAAAATAAATTTGTCGTTCCTCGTGCGAGAACAGAAATGAAAATTTATCGTAATACTAAACACTTATCAAAGGTGGTACATAGAAAAAAGTGAGACGAGATATAACACAAAACAAGCAAACATTGAACATGTTGAATCACAAACATGCATTACAAATTGTCTCAACAGGTCAAATCAATATGAAAGTACTTGCAGTTACTGACTGCTAGTTAAAAGCCAAAAACAATTAAAAATTAAAAAAAAAACAACATGCATCTGAGACTAAAATCAATCAAAGCACACCCAAGGTTGGTGTTTTAATGCCATGGACAGTTAGTGGATAATTAATATAGCTGTGAACATGATATGAGTATTTTTCCAATATTTTAAATTTGAGCTAAACGTGAACAGAAATTAATTCTTTCGAATTGTGACAATCATAATCGCCGCCCCTCCCCCACTCATTATTTTTAATAAAAAAATTGCAAATAAACTTACTCATTTTATGTTTTTTATTTTGTACCACAGAGTTGCTGCGCCTCACTTGTACATCTTTTGTTGTTGGTGCATGTGTCACGTTTTGCAATTTTTCAAAGCCTGGAAAAAGTAGAAAATATTTTTTACAGATAGTATAGATCAACATTATAGTTTACTCAAATGACAACTGTCATTTTACTTGATGAATTAACAAAGGGAATACTTTAATTATTACTTTACATTAGAAAACAAAAAAAGTATAACAAATATACCGAGCTCCAAGTAAATTTTAAAAGGTGAAGTCCATAAAATACACAAAACGAAACGTTATCAACGGACGATCAAAAGCACATTTTTGTGTATTAACTATCAATGATATTTGAGATTTCAATTCTCATTGAAGACGATAAGTTTGTGTGTGTCACAACTTACTATTGACATGCTTTCGCGATATCTTAAGATACCAGGGTATTATATAAAAATAAGAAGATGTTGTATGATTGCCAATGAGACAACTCTCCACAAGAGACATAGATTACGTTCATTGAAATCCAAAATGTCAGAACAAACGCGGGCATTGCGATTGAGTTGTGATACATAAACACCGTAAGATGGTGCCAAAGTAACATCATTGTCCAAAAAAGGATAATAAACAATAGGGAATGAAAATTCTTTCAGTTTGTGGTAGTTATCCTGGAGTCGTATCTTCGTTATTCCATCATGAGAATTAAAACTGGTAAAATGCCTAAATCTACATATAAAAAGGACCATTCAGTAAAAAGAGAAATATTTTGCCTCATTGATATATATTCAGAAAAAAAAAAGATTTTTGTATAGAACAATCGTACAATACCAGTTAACATTATTTGGCGTTGTTAGTGTGTGTTTTGACTTATGAATTTGAATGTCCCTTTGGTATATTTCGCCTTCCTTTTATTTACCTTACAGTTCAATTTTCATCGCGGTTTTCAGATATGTACTGACACGAAATATCATTGATATGGTCATAATTATAGGTAAGCTGCTTAAAACATGTTTTTTTTTCGAAATATAAAGGATTTTATATTTTTTTGGCATCAGAAAATAGACAACCTTAACTGTATTTTGCTTAACCTTTCTGATTAACGGGTCTTCGATGTTCCTAAAATTCCTTCCTTGTTTGGCCTTTTCTGTATTCGAACCTCTTTGATGAATTCTTTTGAGGACGAAACGCGCGTCTGGCGTAAAAATATTTTATCCTGGTATCTATGATGAGTTTATTTAAGTCATGTCGATAAAATTAAATATTCAATGATGAGGATGCTAAAAAACTATGCGTTTTAACTTATTATTTAACTACAGGATAAAACAATATTCGTAAAGTATGAAATGTGTTTGTACTTGATAGAAAACAGCTGAAATGCTCGTCCAGTCTCGCTTTTCTCTCTGTTCATAAAGGTCGTACAGATAAATTGTAAACTTTTCTACTCTGTTCAAATATGGTATTAGTACAACATGTAGTATAAATAACAGCAATTTGGAACTATCGTTTTAAGCATATTGACAAAGACACATCAATACTCACTCGAAATACAAATGAAATTTGAAAATAACAAACATTTGCTGAACAACACCATATTCTATATGTGACTGTCCAAATTCAGGAGGCTGTAATTCATTGCTTTTTGTGTTTTGCTGTGTGTTATATTTGTTTTTCGTTTACCGTTTTGTACGTAAATGTGAACGTTAAATTTTTTCGTTTGTCATTTCGAAGCTTTTTATAGCTTGTTATGTGGTATAGGTTTTGATCATTGTTGAAGGTGACCGATAGTTATTAACCTTCTACATTATTAAGTATCTGGTGGAGAATTGTTTCATTGGCAAGCATACCCTGTCTTCTTATTTTGATATCAAAAGTTGCCCTTTTGAGCTGTCAGTAAACTTGAAAAAATAACAAAGTGAGAAAAGACTGAAGTGTTTTGCTCAAAAGTAAGTTTAACAGATGAATATTCAAAATTGTAGCAAGAACCGAATTACTGGTTGTACGGACATAATCTTTTTTTTTAACAAATATGGCAAATGCAGGGTCGATCTATAAAAAGTAGTTTGAAACGGAAATGTTTTTACTTGATAGTCACCTTACTGAAAACAGATATATATGCAACCGTAGTTTTACCAATTTCGCACACTTTATACTTTTGATGCGTCTTAATACACTTTTCTAAATTAATCTTCAGCAGGCACACTTTAACCAAGCTATTAGAAATTTCTTAATATATAAATTGTCAAATTTTATTAAATGTTTCAGTTATTTCAATATATGGCAATTGCTGCACTGTAAGATATTTTTACGATACGTTGAACTTTATTTTGTACATGACAGGTAGGTATATTCTAAACGTATTCAAATTCATCGTACGCGAGGCATTTGTCTGGCAAATTGAGTAAATGCATGACTGTAAATTATTATAAATATTGGTTTTTGTTTTTAATTTTGTCATGATTGTTACAAAGTAAAATTGCTAATTCCCTAAAAAAACTCATAACTAATGTTTAAATATATATATTTATAGCAAGGTTAACTTGAATTGGTGTGAAAAAAGGAAAATAACAAAAATACCGAACTCCGAGGAAATTTCTGAACGGAAAATCCCTAAGCAAATGGCGAAATCAAAAGCTCAAACACATCAAACGAATGGGTTACAACTGTCATATTCCTGACTTGGTACAGACATTTTCTTATGTAAAAAATGGTGGATTATCAAGCATTTTAATTTGAATTAGTGTGAACTATGATAAAGCATGTTGTTTAATGACTTATTTATTGATTCATATATTGGTATTGCAAAAGACCTTTTTTTTCTTATTCTGCATGTTATTAATGTATGTACTGCAATATTTAATAGGTTTTTTTCTGCCTTATTTAATGACGATTTGATTTAATGTATTTACACCATACCATTTTTTCCACGGGTGTTTTGTCGGGGCTCTCTGTGCTCTGCCTTGTGATTTCTGCTACATGTTTCAGAACAAAAATCAGCTTTTTTGCAATGTTGGCATGGTTGAATAACATTCACTGCTTCTTTCTTGTGACAATAGGAACATACATTATCCATTTTAACTGGATTATTATATAACAATGTATTGTGTTGTCTGAAATACAAATCGTAAAGAAACTTCTGTTATGCAGGTGTTCAATTTGAAGACGAATTTAAGAAAAATACTTTGCAACATCCTTTTCTTCAATCATAAGTATTTTGACAGACACTTACTCGTTTACTTAAGCAATGTTAAGGTTAGGCATATATTCAACAATATAAAACAAAGCCTATTTTTATAAGTCAGGTATTCCACATGAATTATTATACGATGAAATTTTACAAAAAATGACATAGGAAGTTTGGTTAAATGAGAATAAGAAGTCATCAGAGTTAAATCATAAGCTGAGCGAGATTTGTCCGATGTCAAGAAAAAAGTAAAAGCATCCGAGCGTCGGTAAATTTATATTTTGGCCAGTAAATGTAATGAAGATTGACACAAACTACAATTAAAGGTTAAATATAAAATGGAAAATGGAAACCGGGAATGAGTCAAAGAGACAAAAACACTACCAAAGAGCAGAAAACAGCCGAAGGTCACCAATAGGTCTTCAACACAGGGAGACGGGCTTTATCTGGTTTTTAAACAAAATGTGTACTAGTTCAATGAAAATGGACACCAAACTTCACTCCGAAACATATAAATGAACTAAAATTAAAAACGAAAACATACAATAAAATTGAGAATGGAAATGGGGAATGTCAAAGAGACAACAACCCGACCATAGAACAGACAACAGCAGAAGGTCACCAACAGGTCTTCAATGCATCGAGAAATTCCCGCACCCGGAGGCGTCCTTCAGCTGGCCCCTAAACAAATATATATACTAGTTCAGTGATAATGAACGCCATACTAAACTCCAAATTGTACACAAGAAACTAAAATTAAAAATATTACAAGACTAACAAAGGCTAGAGGCTCCTGACTTGGGACAGGCGCAAAAATGCGGCGGGGTTAAACATGTTTATGAGTTCTCCTCCCTCCCCTATACCTCTAGCCAATATAGAATAAACAAAACACACAGCTATACGCACAGTCAAACTCAGTTTATAAAAAGTCCGAGTCCGATGTCAGAATAGGTATCAAAAAATAAAATCACAAAAATACTGAACTCCGAGGAAAATTCAAAACGGAAAGTCCCTAATCAACAGTACATAACTATATCCCTTCTAAATAAGTCTGTTTAAATGTTTGGTTAGCTTTTGAGGTGAATATCGTCATTTTTGTGCTTTGTATAGAATATTACCATAAATATTGGATGTGAAATACCTGAACTTATGATGTCTGCATGTTGATTTATATCTACGAATGATGTCTTTGTACCGGTGATAAAATTTATTAAATGTTTTGACTAGTTTATGATATCGAACACCCTTGTGTAATAATTTTTTTAGTAATACAGAGATTATTTTCGTTAAAATCAAATACGTTGTTACATACACGAGTGAATCAAACAACTTGAGATATATATATAAGGAAACGTCACAATCTAAAAATGGATGATTAACAAAACGAAATGAAAAATCATCTCTTTTATCATTATAACTATTTACACCACTGGGTCGATGCCACTGCTGGTGGACGTTGCGTTCCCGATGGTATCACGAGCCCAGTTGTCAGCACTTTGGTGTTGACATGAATATCAATTATATGGTCATTTTTATAAATTTCATGTTTGCAAAAGTATGAATTATTTGAAATACTAAGGATTTTCTTATTCCAGGCATAGATTGGACTCTCATCCAAGTATTACTTGGAATATGAAGGATGAGAAACATTTTAGTAATGGAGACTGCGGCTCGAGAAGATGTAACTATCTTTCATATCCCAATGTGCAACGAGGCATCTCAGTTACAAGAGGTCAAAATCATGACCTATGGGTATTACATAGCTATACATTGCTATAAATACTGCGGCTATTACCTATGCCATTCATGATTCAAAGTTTGTTTGTGCAACAAAAACAATTTGGATGGACAAACAAAACCGTCCAAACTGGGTCGGTAAATTGTTACATCTTCTCAAGCCTCAGGCTCCATTACTAGAATGACTCTCATCCTTCATATTCTAAGTTATACTTGGATGAGAGCCCATTCTACTAATGACGCTCTTCGGCTCTACGAAGATGTAACTATAGCATATTCAAAGTGTTGGCACAAACAAGACAGTTCCTTGAACAACTAACAGAGAGCAAATCAGAATTTTTTGAATCAGTCCAGAATATACTGGAGACTAAGATAGTAGTCATTCTAACTAATCTTTCTGACTTAATAAATAATATAATCTAAATATTAAGGTAAAATACCAATATTGATTATTCAGATAATATCTGGCTAGTCCAGGTATAAAAAAAAGTTTCAAAAACATCTAAAGTAATTTTGAATAATAAGATATACAACAAAAAATATCTATTTTTATATATATATTTGATGTCTGAATTTCAATATTTTCAAGAATAATAACTTATTCTATACATTCAAGACAAATTCTCATAACTTTATAAAGAGCATAACAAGTTTTGAATTTTCAAAACTTATAATAATGGTTACCATTTGCCTGAAACTTGCTTACAAACCATTATTTGTATATCTAAATATCTACTGACATATTATTCTGCAACACTATTCTTAAATATTTGAAAATGCATAATTCTTTAGCCCTTCTTTTTTGTACTCTTCTAACATGACACTCACTGTAGTTCAGATGTGTATGAATAAATAAGAATTTGAAGACAAATTCCGGAGACAGTAAATACAGTCAGATATAGATTTTCGTTAACCTTCTGAAGCTTTCAATATTATTTATACATGTTTTTAATTAATATTATCCATAGAAATATTTCTAGTATTTTTACAAGCTAAAAACTGTCACTGCAAGTTCAACAAGTATTATCCCTTCGCAGGACATTTGGAATTCTGTCTATTTTTAATATTGTAAGAACAGAAAATTGATTCAAAAGTCTCAAGTAAGAAACGAAAGCTTCAAATAGTGTTAATGTTCATAACTTTAACATAATTTTGCAATCAAAAACTCCTCTCCGATTCATATTAAAAAGTAATAATTAGGTGATGACTGTCACACTAAGGTCATCTGTTAATTAAAGGTTGACTTATTTAAAACTACATGTAGATGTCAAAGAAGATCAGCCTTTACTGTAATTCTTATTCAAGACACTTTAAGTGACTATATATAAACATTTCATCTTATCCATTTGTTTCTGGAATATATTAACTACAATAAATTATTTGATGTCTGGTTCAGTTATTTTACATTCAATGTTTGCTTATGACAATAAATATGTAGTATATGTATAATATATATCAAACAGTATTGATAGGAAATTATGATTTATATGAATTGAATCTTAAATTCAAACATTTCATATGGACTAGGTCTACATATACATTGTGCATCTGATGTACCATTCTGAAGTAAATCATCTTAAACGAATCATCGTTATGATATTTTATTAAGTATATGCAAAATATACAAAAAACCAGTGTAGCTATTTAATATCTTATGTTTTAAGAATTAATATAGATCAATATTTAATATAACAAGAAATAAGACTTGATCCAGCATGTTTTAAAAATCCTAAGATTTAAGTAATATTGTTTTGTGAACACTCATCTGATAATCTGATAATTTTTTTAAAAGAGAACTGGAGAAGGGATACAAAGTTTTTTACTTCTATTGTAAACTGTTACATTTGACAATGACCTTCACCCATCCTGATATCCATACCAATGTTTGATATTAAAGGAATATAACTATTACTGTATATTAATATTATACCAGTCAAGACTTGATCATCTTACATATGTACTATTTTTCTATTATACATCTAATATTATATATGGCTATGTATTATTTAAAGCAATATAACTACATGTAATAAGAAGAGAAATTTCTAATTGAACTGAAAAGAATAATCCAGTGTACATGTACAGATCTAGGTGGTAATCAAAATATAAGTGTGCAATTTGTTTTGCAAATTCTAATGCTAAGAATACTTTTAAGCTCACCGTTCCGAAGGAACTGTGAGCTTTTGCCATCACTTGGGGTCCGTCGTCGTCCGTCCGGTGTAAACTATTTCAAACATCTTCTCCTCTGAAACTACTAAACCAATTCCAACCAAACTTTAGCTGAATGATCCTTAGGGTATCTAAAATTATGTTTGTGTTTATTTTTCTGTTTCGTCAAAAAACATTGCCGCCATGGCTAAAAATAGAACATAGGGGTAAAATGCAGTTTTTGGTTTTTATCTCAAAAACAAAAGCATTTAGAGCAAATCTGACATGGGATAAAATGCTCATTAGGTCAAGTTCTATCACCCCTGAAATTGTTAGATGAATCAAACAACCCATTGTTGGGTTTCTGCCACTAAATTGGTAATTATAAGGAAATTTTGCAGTTTTTGGTTATTATCTTGAATATTATTATAGATAAAGATAAACTGTAAATAGCAAAAATGTTCAGCAAAGTAAGATCTACAAACAAGTTTTATGATTAAAATCGTCAATTGGCCCCTTAAGGAGTTATTGCCCTTTAAGGACAATTTCACACAATTTGTTTATCATGTTTTCTAACTTTAAAAAATCTTCTAGAACATAAGGTAAAATGCAGTTTTAGACTTATATCTAAAAAACTAAAGCATTTAGAGCAAATCAGACAAGAAGTTATAGTATTCATTAGGTCAAGGTCTATCTGCCCTGAAACTCAGCGAAATCGGGTATCTGAATTGGTGATTTTAAGGAAATGTTGCAGTTTTCGGTTTTGAAAATTATCTTGAATATTATTATAGATAAAAATAAACTGTAAACAGCAAAAATGTTCAGCAAGGTAAGACTTACAAATAAGTTTAATATGACCAAAATTGTCAATTGACCCCTTAAGGAGTTATTGTCCTTTAAAGACAAATTTTCACAATTTGTTCATCTAATCTAGTTTGCTTACTTTAAAAAATCATGGGCTGAATGAGTTTCTGAGTATCTTGTATAAATTTTGCATTTTATTTCCTTGTACGTCAAGAAAAATAGCCACTATGGCTAAAA